GCCAAGCTCCCGCTGCCCCCGCACAAGTCACAGGAGCCCCAGGGCAGCCCCGCGCATCCCCAGCGCAGCGGCACCCGCTCCCATCCCCAGCACGGCGTGAGCTGGCCTTCCCTTAGGCAACAACAGCGCTGAGCTGCTCAGGTCTCAGCAGCTGCTGGCAGGGCCTGGAAAGCACCGGGCAGTTTATGTTAGTGCTTCATCCTCAGACGTGCAGGGCTGCTCTGCCTGCAGCCTAAAATTCCCGTTCCACCCCTGAACTCCTTATTCTGTCTGGTTTATTTTTCCTGCTAGCAAGAGGCACTTCAAGGAATGCATCAGTTTTATCCACCAGTGTCGTCTGCATGGAGGGAACTGCCTCGTCCACTGGTAACGCGTCTTTCCCCGTGCCTGATACCATGTCCCCCCAGCGCCCCGCTTTGGCTGCAGACCCCTAACCAAAGCCGGCCTGTGCCAGAGGGCTCCATGCCCACAGATCCACCCAGGATCCGCCCTCGGCTGCGGCTTTTGCCTCAAACCCAGCAGGATCCAGGCAGCCCTGGAGAAGGGGCAGCTTTTCGCTGCGGCTGAGCGAGTGGGAAGAGCGGGGGTTGGGGCAGGCAGGCAGGCCCCAGCCGCTGCTGTCGCTTCCCCGGGGAGGAGCAGGTATTTATAAGCACTGATGGAGAGGACCTTGGAAGGGCTCAGGCCTCCCAGAGAGCAAGTTCTTGGAGAAGAGGAACCAAAATAGCTGAAACATAAGGGTGGAGGAAGGGGCGAGCGTGGGGTCAGGGTGTGCCGCCGGCAGCAGCCTTTCTGCCCTTTCCCTTGCCAGCCTCGCCGGCATCTCCCGCAGCACCACCGTGGTGGTTGCCTACGTCATGGCCGTCACGGAGCTGAGCTCCCAGGAGGTGCTGGAGGCCGTCCGAACCGTCCGGCCCGTCGCCAACCCCAACCCCGGCTTCAGGCAGCAGTTGGCTGAGTTCGGCGGCGGCGCAGCCCGCAAGGTGGGACCAGCCTCGGCCACCCATGCTCTGCTCCGCAGCTGAGCCTGCTCAGAGGTCTCAGGGTTCCCGGGGGGACCAGGTCGCTTCCCCGCTCTCCTTGCTGGCAGGCTTGGACCTGCCCTTGGAAACAGGCACCTTAGTTTCCTTCTCCCTCCTTCCCCAGGTCCGCAGGTACCTGAAGCAGAGGTATGGGACGTCCCCTTTCAACGACGAGGAAGAAATAAAGGCCTTGCTGCCGGCAGGGAGAGGAGGACCGTCTAGGACAGAGGGAGCTCTGCAAGGACTGGTCCCAAGAGCCAGAGACATCAGGAGCACGACTCCCTTCCTGCTGCGGGTGAAGAGGACGTTCTCCTGCATCCCGGCTTGTCTGAAGTGACCCCAGCCAAGGGAGAGCGGCGAGAATCACCCAGCAGCCTGGGAGAGACGAAGGAGCTGCAGCACAGCGGGCCGGGGAGCGCTGTGCAGGGCGGCCACGTCAAGCCCAGCTCCTTCGTCTCTTCTGGGGTGTGAGCGTGCCATCCTCCGTCCTGGCTCTCAGCTGTCGGGGAGGGATTTGTCTGCACTGCCAGGCTCTGCAGCGCTCGGTGGGCTCAGCCTCTTCGCCTCCAGCGTGTTGGGGACGCCTGGTGAAAGGCGCAGGGCTCTGCCCCCAGGTCACCGCAGGCTCCTGCTCAGGGCAGAGCGACAGAGGGGGCCTCTCCTGCCGCGGGGCCAGCACCCAGGCGATGCCGGCAGCAGCTTTAGCACTTGGGTACCAGCTGCACGAGCCTCGGGGTGCACAGGGTGCGGGAGAGCCGGCGCTCCCCTCGGGGCGGTTTTCCCACCAGCAGCACAAGCTCCCAGAGCCGAGGAGGCTGCGGAGCAGGGCCATGTGGGGGCATCAGCCGGTCACACCACCGCACCGGCTCCCAGGCAAGGGTCCAGCCCCAGCCTGGCCAAGCACAAGCCCTGAGCGAGCGCTGTAGCTTTTGGAGTCCATTGCACCCCATTCCCACCCATCCCAGGGCATGATCTTTAAAAGGTGGGAACTAAGCGTTTAACCTGGCCAGACCTCACTAAAGCAGAGCCTTAAGCCATTTTGCTTAAAGACTTTCTATGCCCCCCCAGTAATAAACACCTATTCTCCGTGGTCTGCCTGGAGCGCAGTTGGACTCCCCTGCGACGGCCGGACAGATGGGGGATGCCGAGGGGGACGGTCCCAGTGTGGGGAGGTCTGGAGGCTGCTGCTGGCCACTCTCCGCAGCCCAGGGAGGAGCGGGCTGGGGACACCGGCACGCCTGGGCAGGGGACCCCCCTGTGCCTGGGCAGGGGACCCCGCTGCTGCCTTGTGGGAAGGTTACAAGAGAGGCCAGAGAGCCGGGTGCCATTTGGGCTCTCTGTGGGGACAGGGCTTGCCCCAGGAGGGGCTGGGCAGCAGCAAGCGGGCACTCACGTGGAGCTGGCTTCACTGCAGCTTCTCGACTCACCAGGACGGGAGCACCGGGTCCAGGAGCCTGCTGGCTCTGGCTACTGGGAGCACTGGGAGCCTGGCACCAGCTGAGCATCGCAAGCCCAGACCTGTCCTATTTACACCTTTCCCTGGGGCAGAGTCCCAGGTGGGGAAGATGCTGGGAACGCCCAGCTGGGTCATCAGCATCTCCCCTGCTGGGAGCCAGAGCGGGTTTCTGGGGTCCCCCTCGTCCCTGCCACCCCTCTCCCATGGGGGAGGGTGTCCTCCAGGAGCCGGACAGGGACAGGGACAGGACAACCTCCTCCTGCAGGGAGGTTTCCAGCTCTGTGTGTGATGGGGTGCCAGGCATGGGGTGCCAAACTGAAGGGACTTCCCGGGAAGCCAGGACTGCCTCTGCTCTGGCCGCTTCCAGGAGACATCAGCATGGGACAGGGAATGTCCATCAGTAATTAATAACGGCTCGTTTACCCCTGCGTGGCGGCTGTGGCTGAAGGTGAGCAGCTGGCTGGGCGTCCCAAGGGTCTCGGTGCCCACCGTGCCGGTGCTCGGGCAGCGCGGGGCCCCACGCGCCGTGGGTGCTGCAAGGGGTGCACGGAGCGGCAGGGGCAGGCGGGACTGGTGGCTGAGACGGCGTTCTACCTGCTGTCCTGGCTGGTGTGCCGTGCTGTGCTCCACCCTTTGGCACCCTAAGCCTCCCCTTTTGTTTGCATGAGGGTAATTTAGGAGGGTGCTGCAGCAGCCGCAGCTCCTGGGAGCCCGGAGGCTCCTGTGTAAGCAGCCCCTTGGCAGGACCCGCACACCCGCTCCCGTGTCACCTCCATAGAGCTTCGGGGCCGGGGTTCCTCCCTGCTGCCAGCACCTGCCTGCCAGGCTGGGTGCTGCCTTGGGGTGACCCAGGCAGGCTGGGAGCCCCACTCCCGCCTCGCTGGATGCACACTGAGCCCACGGAGTAACCGGGGGTGCATCATCCTCTGCTGCTCCTGCACCCTCTGCCGTGGGGTCCCCCTCTCCTCCCAGCTCCTGCCAGGCTGCTCTCCTCACTCCCTCGCCCCCAGGCCAGGGCACTCCGGCATCCTTTGGTCCCCCAGCACCCAGCAGGGCAGTGACCCCGTGCCCCAGGACCACGCGCCTGGGATGGCCACGTGCCTCGTGCATGGCTGCACCCTCCTGTCCGCCCACGCCGGGACGTGCTGGGCAGAGGCATTTACACCCAGGGTTTCCCGTTCGTGCTGTAAACCCGCGGTGAGGCCAAACACTGAGCAACGGCTGCTCCAGCCCAGCTCCACAGCACAGCCAAATGTATTTATTTTGGGAGGTCTGGTTTGCACAACTGGAAAAACCCAGGCAAGGGCGGGGTTAGCTGCGAGTTAATGTCTTACTCCTTTTGAAGCCCATTTCAGCATGAAAAGTTTAAGGGTTAAGTACCTTTGCCGTCCCTGTGCAGGGAGCAGCACGGCGGGGAAACACGCTCCTGAGCATCTCTGCTGATGCGGGGGTAATTAGATGCCACGGGTCGCGCCTCACTGCGTGGCTGTCACACGCGATGAAATCCCTGGCTGCTAAAGGCTTATCCCGTCGGGCCAGGGCTGGCTAACAAGCTGGTGGCTATGATTATCTCCCAGCCTTGGATGTAATCTGTGTAAGGCGTTGAGAGGCTCTGCAATGACCCCTTGCCATCACCCCGCTTCCCAAGGCAGAAAGGGGAGATGCGGATCCCCCATCGCTCAGTCCCGGGCCCCTTCCCCGGAACACGGCCCCTGACCTGCTCGGACAGGGGTGCAGGGGGAACAGGGCGCTGCCCCGGCAGAGGCACAGCCGGCTGGAAATCCCCTCCTCGCTGGCATGGTGCAGAGAGCAGAGTGGCTTCCTGCGCCGCCCCCAGTGCAGCCGGGGGGCAGCCTGGCCACGGCAGGACCGAGGGGGGGGGCCCCGGGCCGC